CCCATTGAAAGAATGCTATGGCACCTGTTCCGAGGGACAGTGCGTCGGTCCTACTTTTTGGGTCAAGGAACTTAATCCTTTTGACCCGGGACTGAACCTCGTGCGATCTCGGGAATTAGAGGGAAGTTGATGCGAGGGGTAACTTAAAAAAAAGTGGAAGCTAGCGATTTTCAATTAACAATTAGCTTACATTTATTTGAGTAGTGTTATTGTGCATACTTATATGGTTTGTCTAGGATGCAATAGTTAGTTGCAATGTCATGCGAGATGAAAAAAACTCGATGAAAAAAAATCATACGAAGCTTCGTAAAAAAGCAAATTAAAGGTAAAGATTCACTCTTTCGAATGATGTAAATCGCATTTGTACACAATTTTTAGTTCACTCCGTGGAACTTCGTAAATTTCGTAAAAAATTTTGAGATTTTGTATGTTTATTTATGTTTGTGTAATTTCATGAAATCTCCATAAGATCGTTTTTTAAGTAGCGATCTAAAAAATAGACGTTTCAACCTGTAAAATGCTTTTTTAAAGATCCCGATATGACAATTTTTGACGAAGTTATTGTATCTTGAAGTTTGCATGCAGCTATTGAATAAAATTAGAATCACTTAAAATCAGCGTTAAAAAAACCAAATGTAAATTTCACATATCTCCGAGAAGAATCGTAAAGCGATGTACGAAAAAACATTTTAAAGCCATAACTTCTTTAATTGTAAGTAAAGTTTAACATTTTCTCATTAAAATGATTTTTTATCATTATGCTACAATTTTTTTCACTAAGTGATTTAAAGTAAGTAGTGAATCATGTAGTCTTTTCTCTGAAAATTTCTTAAAATTTTACCGCCGTATTAGCATTACCCGAGAAGGAGCGTGCGCGCGCGTGCCACTATTACCGAATTAAGCCCTTCTAAGCTTCATATCGAAGGAATTATAATTAATAAAAGCTAGAATTAAATTGGTAAGAGAAATAAGAGGAATAACGTTCGGTGTAGTATTGGATAAGATAATGTGTGCTCCGATACTATCAAAACGTTCTTGACCTAAAAAAATAATCATTCGGCTAAATAAAAGTTTTTCATACGACAAAGCGGTAATGCAAATCTTAAGTATAAGCATCGAACAAATTTTAGATGTAGATCAAATTTATATAAATACTAAGATCTCGTTAGAAGATCAGTTACCATTTAAGAAAATCTTTATAGAATTTTATAGCGAGCCAGAACACCCTAGGCAACTCAGACACTATGCAGAAGCCGTCATCACATTAAAGAATAATCAACTTATTCAATTTGATCCACGATGGCTGAGTTTCGCGGATAAGGCAAAGGTGCAGGAAATTCTAAATAATTTTCTTACAAAAGGAATAATAAATCTCTGAATATACATTGCCCATTGTATTGAAATAAAAAAAAAATGGAGATACATGAATGTGCGTGGACTTCCGCGCCTTAAACAAGATAATTGCGAGAGATAATTATCCTCTTCCTTTGACCGAGGATCAGTTGGATATGTTGAGGGGCAAGCGCTTTTATAGTACATTGGATTTAAAAGACGAGTTCTATCTAGTGATGCATATTTGATCTCCGACACCACAGAAAACCAGTCTCACCACATCTATCCCTACTAAGCAGACACCTACTGGCACCAAGTCGGCCGACTTCGCCGCTGCGCGAGAGCGCAGCATCCTTCTCGCTCTATTAATAACTTGTAAACACAAGCGAGTAATAGAGTGAAAAGGATGGCCGCTTTCTCTCGCTGTCTCTCGTTTCTTCTACTAGTCGTTTGTTATAAGTGACCGAAAACTGAAAATGTGCTTTTTCGACTGCTCGGCGTATTTCTGTATAAGCGAAAAAGGGACACACACATTCTAGATAATGATAGATTTTAATAAATTTTAATAACCATTTAACCCTCCCATTAATAGCAAAATTGATTTTAAAATGCGACAGTTTACGAAATATTAATTGTATGTTACAAAATTATATTAGCATAATCTTTATAATTATAGTATAATAATCATCTTACTTTCGTAATTTAGTAATTATCAGAACTCTTACATACATTGAAATGATAGTTATAAAAGAAGCATTTAAAACAAAATATGATTAACAAATACATTTGTGATAAACACATTATTATAAAAACATTTATTTCGGAATTTATTAAAGTAATAAAATTTTATTTACATGTAAAAATATTGGTCTTCCAATTCGATTAAGTTGGACGCATACTATCGAATCATTATTTTTCCTACAATTGTTGATTTAAAAGTAAAACACTAATTGCAATAATTATATAAGAATGTATTATTTGTCTTAATCGTTTACTGGCAATTAATGTATAATAATAACATAAATTTCAGAAAACTATATATTATTAAAATAAAGGGAAAAGAGGCACGATTGGCACATGAAATGTTCATCGCGCATTTTATTTGCTCAGTCACACTGATTATAATAGTTATGGTTACAAATGCGTATATAATCCACACAGAAAATTTTAAGGATACCTCATTAATTATTATATGCATCGACTTTTAGCCATTAATTGACGAAAGAGATGCTATACATATTTAAAATTCAACGAAATTTATAATGTATTTATAAATTAATTGGAAGCTATTTATTAATTTTATTGCAGCCTCGGCCGCAATTTTATTAATAAATTTTTATTTAACTATAATGGCAATATTCGTAGACCGATCTTATATCTAAATAACGTAAAGTTTATTTCACATAGACACTCCTTATGACCGTTTTTATAAGATGACATTGAATATGTGAGATTGGATTATGAATATAGACCTATATATGAATAATAAACGTTGCAAATTTCAGTAAAGAGGTATTTTGCTTATATTTCTTTATTTCAATATTTTATGTGATGTGATTCTTCTTTGGCGCTCGTCACACAAGATATTCTAAAATTGTTCATTCTATAATTTTTGATAAAATTTTAAAATCTGAAAATATTTTTTTAGAAATTATAGAGTTATAGAAGTGTTACATATTTTTTATATCAGAAATTTTATACATCAGAAATTGAATACTAAATGTTCCAAAAAAAGTATATATACTTTCTCAGTATTTTTCGTAGCTCTCATAATTCATATAAAAGGCAGATTGGAAAAAAGGGAGAGAAAATGACGGTAACGTTTGTGGATTTGAGGATATACAATTCGGCATTTGATTTGATGGATAGGGGAGTGTTGATAAGATCTATGAGGGAAAGAGGAATAAGGGAGGGATTGGTGGAGAAGATGGAGGAAATGTTAACAGAGGTAAGGAGTAAAGTAGGAGTGGCAGATGGGTTGGGAAAAGGGTTTTGAATAGTAAGGGGGGTAAAATAGAGATGTCCAAACAAAATAGGTTAAACCCAGTACTGTTTAATATATTGGTGGCGGATCTAGAAGAGAAAATGAGTAAGGTAAAGTGGAGAGGGATAAGGCTAGGAGAGAAGAGAATATATTCACTGCAGTACGCAGATGATGTAGTGTTGATAGCAGAGGAGAAGGAGGAAGAGATGAAGAGTATGCTAGAAGTATGTTAGAAAGATACGAGGGCAAGTCAATAAGTTCTTAGAAAATTTGTCAGAGGACACTCGCAGTGACATGTCACATTACTTTTTGACAAGTAGTATCTGTTAGCTGATTACTGTCAAATTTTGAGCGGAATTCATCGCGTGGTTTTATTTCTGTAGACGATTAAAGCAAACAACCTTTGTATTTTTTGCAAAATGGAAAAAACACGAGTTTCGTGCAGTGATCAAACATATGAAAGGTTTAACGCCAAAAGAAATCAAAGCCGAGTTGGATAATGTTCATAGCGCATCTGCACCAGCGTTTGCGACTGTATACAATTGGATGAATGAATTAAACATGGTCGTACATCCACATGTGATGCACTTCGTTTGGGACATCCAATTGAGGCTGCTACGCCAGAAATCATTGATAAAGTCCACGATATTGTTTTGATTGATCGACGAGTAAAAGTGCGTGAGCTTGTTGAGACCACAGGCATATTACATGGCACAGTAATTTCAATTTTGCACGAACAATTGGGTATGAAAAAGCTATCGGCAAAATGGGTGCCGCGTTTGCTCACTGTGGACCATAAGCGCGACCAAGTGACGATTTCAAAACAATGTTTGGAGATGTTTCAACGTAATCCAGATGAATTTCTGCGTCGATTCATTACTGTAGACGAATCATGGATCCATTACTTCACACCCGAGACGAAGGAACAGTCAAAACTTTACCGGGTGAACCAGCTGGAAGAAGGCGAAGACCGTGAAGTTGTCCGGAAAGGTGATGGCCACAGTTTTTTGGGATGCACGCGGTATAATTCACATCGATTACCTTCCGTCGAAGCAAACGATCAACGGCGATTACTACGCAGCCTAGACCGTTTCAATAACATTTTAAAGAAAAAACGTCCCCATTTGGCGAAGAAGAAAGTGCTCTCCCATCAAGACAATGCACGGGTTTACATATACCCGGCACCGATGGCCAAATTCAACGAATACCGCTACGAATTGCTTCCCCATCCAGCATATTCGCCAGATTTAGCCCCCTGCGACTATTTTCTGTTTCCAAACCTGAAGAAATGGTTCGGAGGAAAGAGATTCACCACCAGAGAGCAGCTCATCCCCGAAACAGGCTTAT